ATAAAGAGAAATACTTTTAACTGATGGTATATGGAGGGGATTATAATCAATGTAATGAAACAAGTTACATGAATTGTTGAATGTGAAACTGATGATGTGCCCTGTAAACTTTCACTCAATCCACAATAAATACCTTAAATTAAAAAAAAAAACAAAAAACATTGAGTCAGTTCCGACCCATAGCCACCCTGTAGAGGGTTTCTGAGGAGAAGAAGTGGGTTTGAACTGCTGACTCTGCAGTTAGCAGTCTAGTACTTATCCTACAGTGCCACAAAAGCAATTGGTCTTAAGTAAAGACAAATATTGGAAAAAGCTAGAGAATTTGGAAACATTTGTTCAGAGATTGTTGTTGTTAGGTGCCGTCGAGTCAATTCTGACTCATAGTGACCCTGTATAGGGTTTCTGAGACTGTAACTCTTTATAGAAGCAGAAAGCTTCAGCTTTCTCCTATGGAGCAGCTGGTGGGTTTGAACTGCCTATGGAGTAGCTGGTGGGTTGAGCAGCTTGTGGTTCGAAGTCCAGTGCTTATCCTACAACACTGCCAGTACTCTTTGTCAGAGATGTTGCTGTTGTTAAGTGTCGTCAAGTCAGTTCTGGCTCATATTAACTCTGTGTAGGTTTCTAAGGAACGACTGGTGGGTTTGAACTGCAGACCGACCTGGCAATGAGCAGTCCAGTGCTTATCCTACAGAGCCACACCAGGACTCCTTGTTCAGAGATGTCATAGAGAGTGTGAAATTCAGGTTGGTGGTTCTATCAATTTAAGAGTCTTGTTTTTGTGGCTGAAAAGAAGCAGAAGAAACCACTGTCTTCATATGAAGAGTAAAGTTCTAAGTTTTCTCTTCTGTTCTCTTGACAGTATCTGAAAATCATTTTGGCAGGCTTTAAGATAGACTGTTCCAAGCAAGCAATCAGAGAAAGGTAAACTTAGGACAGGAAAACAACACTGGACAGAGAGCATATAGATTAAATAATCTTGAATTCCCACCTTCAATGGAATTGTTTTGTGCAAGAGGCTGCAAAGGTACTTGGACTTGGCCAAGGTATGAGGCAGACTCTCAGTCTTCATCATCAAAAACATATACATGTAGAGTTTCCCGTCACAAATACTGATTCAGGTCAGAGGTCACAAGCACTGGGAATCAAGCCTGGTCTCTAAAGTAGGGATTGTTACTGGCTGGAATGATGGCAGTGCCGTGGTCAGGAAAAGTGAAGAAGTGGTATACCACATATGAACTGGGTTGGGTTCCCAACTGTAGACTCTGGAGACCAACCACAGTACCTGATGATCTCCACACACAGCTCATTCTGATGCTTCTAAGCCTCTGATCTAGACTGGAAAGATGTTGGTCTTGGATTGAGGAAGAAGGGCAGCCTGGGACAGTTGTTGTGGATGAAATTCAGCACTCTTGGTGAGGAAGAACTACTAACTAGAGAACTGTTGTACACCAACTGAGGTCAGGGAGAAACTTAATGATCTTCACATGCTTGGAGACTGGCTCAGACAAGGTAACCTAGTTACCTTGAGGAGATGCTAGTAGTCATGTCTTAGTCTTAGAGAATAGAGCAGAGGATTGTTTTCTCTGTTTGTTTTTTTCTTCACAGCCAGAAACAATAGCTAGAGCCAAAGCACAATTTCACTTTAAACTCAAGATTGACCAAGGAAAAAATCTAGACTAGTTGTAGCATAAAAGTTTTTCTTTCATTCTCATTCAAAAATTAGTTATTGACAACAGAAGTTTGAGTTTGTCTCATAAGCTGCATGGCTAAGACTCCTTTAAGATGCATGGATAAATCCTTTTTCTCACCTCCTCATCCTCCTGAGTCTTCCAGGCTCCAAGCATATTAGCTGAAAGGTAGACCTGAGCTTTCCTTAGCTTACTTCATGCCTTTAGGCTGGAAGTTATGGGGCAGCAAAGCCTCATCCAGTACTCAAGTACTCCGAAGTTTTCTCCATCAGCTCCTGGGTAGCAGAAAGTATGAAAGGCATACAGGACCGAGACGGTATGGCAAAGATTGAGACTAAAGGCAGAGGCTCAACTATAGACTTTGGCAAATTCAGCTTCCATCCTGGGGGCTACCAGAAGCAAACAACACTTACCAGTAAGCATGGTAGAGCCATAGACTTTCTCCACGGTGTCCAGCACCCTGTCAAAGTGAATCCATTCAGTTGCAAGAGTGTAGAGCTCACCGACCAGGGCTTGGTGAAGATCAAGCCAGGCTGAAGCTCCTTGAAGGTAGTGCAGGAAAACATACTGTGTGTCCACCACATACTGGGAGGTGAAGTCATAGAGGGCTTGTGGCCCCACAGCTAATGGAGTACAATGAGTTTTGAAATCATAGAAGGAGTAAGTGCCAAAAGTGGTAGGTTGGCTAGCTCTAGACTGAGCCAGGGCAGCGGATGTCTGGAAGGCCTGTTGCAGGTGCAGTTCAAAAAGATTTTCACTCTGATGCAGTAGAGAAATGCCCATTTTATCCTCATCTGTATTGGCTGGTAGTGTTTCCAGACACAATGACAATTGTCAGGTGCCATAAGCCACGTCGTTGAGCTGTTCTAGAGTATCCTTCCCTAGCGTTGTTGTTATTGAGTGACGGTGAATTGGTTCAGACTCATACCAGCCCTGTATAGGGTTTTCAAAGACCGGCTGGTGGGTTTGAACTGCTGACCTTGTGGTTAGCAATCCAGTGCCTATTCTACACACCAAACCAGGGATCCCTTCCCTAGTGTGGTGGTGGTGGTGGTGTGTCATGGAGTCAGTTCTGATTTAACAGCGACCCTGAATATAGGGTTTCTGAGGCTACAAATCTTTTTTGAGCACAGAATGTCTCATCTTTCTTCCGTGGAACAGTTCATAGTTTTGAATTGCTGACCTTGAGATTAGCAGTCCAACTTGTAACCACTACACTACCAGAGCTCCTTTTCCCTAGTGTAATGGAGGGTAAACAGAAAGAGATGTAAAAACACAGAGAAAGTATTCATTGTGATTATTTGAAGAAACCAAGGTATTCAAGAGAATAAACAAAGTAATGACAACAAAGAGATTTGAACTCTGATAACTAATTAATCCAATGTTTGCTTTAGAGTTGTTGCTTGTGCCACTGAATGAGTTCTACTGACTCATAGTGACTCTGTATAAGGTTTTCAAGGAGCAGCTAGTGGGTTTGAACCACCGACCTTGTGGTTATCACTCCAATGCTTAGAGAGAAGGTACAAAATGAGTGATTGGAAAGTAAACACTAAGCTCAGGAAAACACTGGAAACACAATTTTGCTATATAGATGACATTGTTTGCGTCTACTGTAAGACTTCATTAATTAATTGATAAATTCCCCTAGAGAAGCACCAGAAACAAAAAAAACATGAATATTTCTATTAAAAAGAAGAAGTCTGGGATATTGGTTATGAAAAGAATAGCAAGGCAGAGCCACAGTGTCTGCTGCATTGAGCCCCACTAAGAAATGCTTCCCTTTCTCCAGCCTTATCAGTCACAAGAGTCTTCATTCTGTTAATACTTTGGTTTCATATTAAGAAGGCAAAAAAAATCATTCTAAGTAAAGAGTCATAGAGTAAGAAGTGGGGGAGGGGGAGGAGACTACTAGAAAGAGACTGAAAATACTGGCAGTGGGAAGAAAAGATATCTAGACCGTCTACCAAATCTGAGCATTATCTTCCATGTCCAACCAATCAGAACTTTGATATATAGTCTGGTTCAAAATGGAGAATGTTAAGAGATGTCACATTGTGCTGATGGCGAAGGTCCTATTTTTTAAGAGTCAATGAAGAGAATGTCTTCAGGTCCAAAATAAGAGAATATAAAGATGAGCTAATGGTTTCTTAATTGGTGGAATGAATACAACAAAACAAGATACATTTAAACTTTTGGATTACATGACACAGGGTTAATAATCTTAACATATAAAGAATCTCTACAAATCAATAAGGTATTATTAAGAAATAGATAAAGGACAGGAACAGGTAATACAAATAACTTAAAAACATATGAAAAACTCTTTAGCTTTACCAATAACCAAAGAAATAGAAGTTTAAAAAAATCTACAGAAGTAGGTAAAGGTATTTATGCTATACTGTCCCAGAAAGCCCTGCATTTGAATGATATGAGAATTTCAATCCAAGGAGAAGTGTCCTTTGTTATAATGTAGAGACTTTTGATCACACTGACCCTGGCATAGGTAAATTATGTTCCAGAATAATCCCTTTATTCTAGTTAATGATCACTAAAAAACCTGCTGACTATTATCTGCTTTCCAGAGAGAATGTCCTGAATAGCAGTTTCAAGTAGTTTCATGACAACAATATAATAGCCATGACTATAAAATAGTAAATGATTATTTGGAATTAAATATCTGTCTGGTGAATTTGGTTCGTGTAAGTCATGTTTCTCACTGCTGGGTACAATAACACAGTCAAGTTTCTTGATGTACAAGACTGAGACCAGACTCTGGTCAGTAATGCCGTACTAAGTCTAAGAGTACCACAGTATGAACTCTGCATAAATACCCAGCTAGCTCCCCTGTCACTGTCAACGTTGCTCAAACTGCAACATTATTTCAGAAAGAGATAAAACAGAAAAGAATGATGGCAGATGAGTGATGACATTCTATTATTTACAAAAACGACTTTATAGATCTGGGTGGAAGAATCAATCTTAAGAGTGTGTGTTACAACACCCAAGAGTCGACAGTGACATTCTTTCATTCTTAAACTAGTATCAATTTACTGAAGCAATTGCTGATCCCAAGTGAAACTCTTCATAGAAATCAGAGAAACATATTGATTTATTGCTAAACTACACATTGTTGTTGTCATTGAGTACCATTGAGTCAGTTCTGACTTCTAGTGACCTTGTATAGGGTTTTGGAGGAGCAGCTGGTGGATTTGAACTGCTGGCCTTGTGGCACACAGTCCAGTGCTGATCCTACATTGCTATACCAGAAAACCCTGAATCTGAATGATACAAGAATTTCAATCCAAGGATGAGTGTCCTTTGTTATATTGCAGTGACCTGTGATCACAATGCTACACATTAAAACAATAAAAATTATGGGACAAAGAAGAACAGGAGTAATAAGTCACATCCCAAGGTCATACGAGGTAGTCCTTAAATGGATACACAAAGAGGAATATATGTTTTGACTGTGCGGCATGTCCTAAAATGAGAATAACAAAGAACTAAGACTTGCCAGATGTTGGTAGACCATGGCTTCTTAAAATACCTTCCAGCTGCTTGATACGATTGTTCTTGAGGTCTACTAGTTGATTCAGTCTCTCCAGTTTCTCTTTGCTATCTTTCTTTTCTTTATCAGTTTTTATCACCAATGTCTCCAGTTCCTCCTGAAAAAAATTCTCTCTGAATTTTTCGATCTCAGTGGCCCAGGCCTAAAGAGGCCAGATAAAAAGTAGCACTTGGTGGGTAATGGAGACTCTACTACCTCTTTAACAGGGCAAATTCACCCACTAGAAAAGTTTGGGTTCCTCAATGACCCTCCAGGACCAGCTGTGCTATTAGTTACCATAAAACCATACCAAAAAACAAACCCAATGTTGCCCAGTCAATTTCAATTCATAACAACCCTATTTAGGATTTCTTAGGCTGTAAATCTTTATAGGAGTAGAAAGTCTCATCTTTCTGCTGTGGAGCGACTGGTGGGTTTGAACTGCTGACCTTGCGACTAGAAGTCCAGTACTTATCCTACAGTGCCACCAGGGCTTCTTATTAGTGCCAAAGGAGAGCATTTTCTTGGGGCTGGCAAAAGTGAACCCAGAGGTTCATAGCTGCCATTTTCATTAGATGGCCCCATCATTGGCTTCTATTGCTAAGGGGCCCTGGACATGTGTGAGTCTTCAGGTTCTTCAAAGAACAGCATATCCTGTGTTAGTACAGGAGAGCATATTACCTTGCACTAGTCCTGGAAATTCAGGCCTTACTTCATCCCAGCCTTCTATCCCCTTCCTATGCCATCTTTTCTTGTACCTTATAACAATCATTGATTTTGCGCTGCAAAAGAAGCATGTCTCTCATCTTGTCTAGTTCCAATGTGGTCTCTGCATGTGATGCTTGCAATTCACTTAACGTCCGGGACAGTTTCTGTTCCTTTTGGTTTCTGTCTTCATAGGGCTATAGGGTAAAAAGCACTGATATAAGGGAGTATAAATATGATAGGGATAATAAAAACTAGTCTCCATAAAGAAGTTGTGGTTGTTATTGTTAAGTGCTGTCAAATAGGTTCCAACCCATAGTGGCCCTGTATAGGTTTCCCGAGGAGTGGCTGGTGAGCTTGAACCACTGACCTTGCAGTTTAAATAATTTTTGCAGTCCAGTGCATTAATCCACAGCACCACACCACTAAAATGCCAACAGCAGAAATTACTCTAATTTTGGGATAATTTCTGCTGTTGGCATTTTACTGGTATAGTGCTGTGGGTTAATGTGTTGGACTATAGAAACATAATCATATCAGTTGATGCAGAAAAGGCATTTGACAAAATTCAATACCATTTTTTTTTAAACTGCTTTATGTGATAGTTTACATGGGAAAACATTAGCTTTACATTCATTTTATCATATATCATTACATTGTCATGGTTACAAACCCCTCCATGCATCATCAACCAACCAAAAGGTACAGCCCGCAAGCCTGCCCCTTGGTCGTCAGCACACAGCCCCTCTCTCTCTCTCTGGGTCTAGAGTTTCCAGCCGCTGCATCTCTCTATGTCATCATCTCTGCCTCCATTCTTGGTAAAAACAAAGTAGGAATTGAAGGGAAGTGCCCCAACATAATTAAGAGAATATATACAAATCTAACAGCCAATATCACTCTCAGTGGAGAGAAACTGAAAGCATTCCCTTTGTGAACAGGAACCAGATAAGGATGCCCTTTATCACCACTCCTATTCAATATTGTGTTGGAAGTCTCAGCCAGAGCTGTAAGGCAAGAAAGGGAAATTAAAGGCATCCAAATTGGCAAAGATGATGTAAAACTCTTTCTATTTGCAGATGATATGATCCTGTACATATCATCTGCAAATAGAAAGAGTTTTACAGTGGTTCAAGCTCACCTACATATAGAAAATCCCAAAGGCTCTGCATGAAAACAAATGGAACTCATTGAAAGATTCCGCAAACTGGCATGCTAAAGCTCAATATACAAAAATCAATTGGATTCCTGTGGTGCTGCAGAACAATGAGTTGGACTGTAAGGTCAGTTTGAACCACAAGGTTGGCTGTTCAAACCCACAAGCCGCTCCTTGGAAATCCTATACAGGGTCGCTATGGGTCAGAACTAATATGATGGCACTTAACAACAGCCACACTAACAAACACAACTCTGAAAAGGAAATTAGGAAAACAATAACATTTACAATAGTCATCCCAAAGATGAAATTCTTAGAAATAAGTCTAACCAGAGAAACAAAAGACCTATACTAAGAAAACTACAAAACAGTACTACAAGAAACCAAAAGAGATTTACAAAAATAGAAGAATATACAATGCTCATGGACAGGAAGATTTAGCATTATGAAAATATCAATACTACCCAAAGTAGTATAGATATAATGTAATACCAATCCAGATTCCATTCTTTAAAGAGATAGAAAAAATGATCATGAACTTTATATGGAAAAGAAAGAGAATTTGGATAAGCAAAGCACTGCTTAAAGAAGAATAAAGTTGGAGGTCTCACTCCCTGATGTCAAAATTTACTACAGAGCCACAGTGGTCAAAACAACCTGGTACTAAGACACAGCAAAAGATACTTAGATCAATGGAACAGAATTGACAACCCAGAAATAAATCCATCTATATACAGTCCACGGCACACCATCACCACCACATACAGTCAACTGATTTTTGACAAAAGGCCAAAACACATTAAATGGGAACAAGCAGTCTCTTTAACAAATAGTGCTGGCAAACTGGAAATCAAGTTACAGAAGAATGAAACAAGCATATTGTATATATCTCACACCATATACAAAAATGAACTGAACATCAATTAAAGACTTAAATGTATAAACAAGAACTATAAAGATCATCAATGAAATATTAGGAACAAATTTAGGGGTTCTAATACATGGTATGGAGTCCTGGTGTGGCACTGTTCAAGCTCACCAGCTACTCCTCGGAAACCCTATACAGGGTCGCTATAGATTGGAACCAACTCAACAGAAAACAACAAAAACACATGATACAGAGTCCTGGTGTGTTGCTGTAGGTTAATGCATTGGACTGCAAGGTCAGTTTTAAACTGCAAGGTCAGTGGTTCAAGCTCACCAGCTGCTCCTTGGAAACCCTATACAGGGTCGTTATGAGTTGGAACTGATTTGAAGGCACTTAGCAACAACAACAACAACAATACATGGTACAAGGAGTTCTGGTAGAATCGTGGTTACAAGCCAGGCTGCTAACCTCAAGGTCAGCAGTTTGAAACTACCAACTATTCTGTGGGAGAAAGATGAGGCTTTCTGCTCCCATAAAGATTTACAACCTTAGAAACCCTATGCAAGGTCTCTATGAGTCAGAACCAACTCCACGGTACACCACCACTGTGTGGGATAGACTCCTGGTGGGGCACTGTAGGATTAGCACTGAACTTAGAACCACAAGGTTGGCAATTCAAACCCACCAGCTGCTCCTTGGAAACCTTATACAGGGTTGCTATGAGTTGGAACTGACACAACAGCACTTAACAACAACAACATTAAATGGTATATATACACCATCAAACATTACAAGCATTACATACAAGCAGTAGGAGACAAAAGAGATGACTAGGACTTCGTAAAAATTAGACATTAGGTGCATCAAAAGATTTCACCAAAAGTGTAAAAAGGGAATCAACAGACTGGGAAAATTTTTTTGTAAATGACATATATGACAAGGAACTAATTTCTAAAATTTACAGACAACTACAACACCTCTACAAGAAAAAGACAAACAACCCAATTAAAAAAATGGGCACAGGACATGAACAGACACTTCACCAAGGAAGACATTGAGGCAGCCAACAAACATATAAAGAAATGTTTACAATAATTAGCCATTGTTGTTGTTGTTGTTAAGTGCTGTCGAGTCGGTTCCGACCCATAGCGACCCTGTACAGGGTTTCCGAGGGTGTAAATCTTTACGGGAGTAGAAAGCCTCATCTTTCTCCCGCGGAGCGGCTGGTAGTTTCGAACCACTGACCTTAAGGTTCGCAGCCCGATTCGTAACCACTACGCTACCACTGGAGAGATGCAAATCAAAACAACAATGAGATATCATCCCATAGCAGCATAAATAGTGAAATAAAAAACAAAACAACAAATGGTGAGGGTTTGGAGACTGGGTCCCTCCTACATTGCTGGTGGGACTATAAAATAGTTCAACCATGTGGAAAATGGTAAGGACTTTCCTCAGAAAGTTGGAAACATAAATATCTTATAACCCAGAAACCCCTCTTCTTGGTATATTGTTGTTGTTATGTGATGTGGAATTGGTTAAGACTCAGTGACCCTGTAGAGTGTTTCCGAGGCTGTAAATCTTTACAGGAGCAGAAAGCCTCAACTTTCTCCCGCGGAACAGCTGGTAGTTTTGAACTGCTGACCTTAAGGTTTGCAGCCTGATTGGTAACCACTATGCTACCAGAGCTCCTTGGTATATATCAACAAGAAATATGAGCCAAGACACAGTAGATATACACACACCACTGTGCAGTGCAGCACTATTCATAATATCAAAAAGATGGAGACAACCTCTAAGTACCCATCAATGGAAGAATGGATAAACAAACTTTGGTACATACACACAATGGAATACTATGCAACCTTGAAGAACATCAGTCTTCACAACTCAGGCCAGAAGAACTAGATGGTGTCTGGCTATCACTACCAACTGCCCTGAAAGGGATCAAATTAGATGAATCTGCAAAACACCTCATTACATGGATGAACCTGGAGGACATTATACTGAGTGAAATTGTTGTTGTTAAGTACTGTCAAGTTGGTTCTGACCCAAAGTGACCTTGTATAGGGTTTCCAAGGCTGTAAATCTTTACAGGAGCAGAAAGCCTCATCTTACTCCTGTGGAGCGTCTGGTGGTTTTGAATTGCTGACTTTGAGGTTAGCAGTCCAACTTGTAACCACTATGCTACCAGAGTGAAATTAATCAATCACAAAAGATTAAATATTGTATAAGACCATTATTGTAAAAGCTTCCTCACTAAAAAGAAACATTCTTTGATGGTTACCAGGCGTGGGAGGAAGGGGAGAGGAATTCATTGGCTAGAGGGTAGACACATGTTTGCTCCTATGACAGGGACGGCAACATACAGGAAGGGGAAGACGATCTACAAGAAGAGGGAGGGTGACAGAGTAATAATAACGATGGGTGAAGACACTGGGAGGAATGCATGGGCTAAAGGGAATAGAGGTAAATAGTGATATATACACCACCTTGGAAGAACAGTGTTGTTTCAAGGTTGTGTATATATGGATTAAGACATAGGTTGAATGAGCAAGGGAGGAAGAGTGAGATATATATGGTGCTGCATATATAATGCACTAGACTGCAAAGTCAGTTTGAACTACAAGGTATGAACCCATGCTTTCCCATGGCCAGCACCAAAGGAGGGCCTGTTCTTGTCTCTGTCCAGAACTCAAGGTCGAAGGCTTAAACTCACCAGTTACTCCTTGGAAACCCTATACAGGGTTGCTATGAGTCGGAACCCACTCGATGGCACTTAGCAACAGCAACAACAACAAATATCTAAGAGTTTGAAAGAGGATATTTGTACATGGATATTTACCTTTCAGGAAAACACAGCTATGAATGTGGTGAAGCATATAGTAGGCAAAATGAAGAAAACTTCCAAACTTCCTTGATACTATCAAACATCTTAAGGCGATGAGTTGATGGTTCTGGGGGCTCAGGACCGTAGTCTCAGGGGACAACATTGTCAATTGGCATAACAAAGACAGTGTTCTACATCCTGTTTGGGCGAGTAGCACCTGGGATCTTGTAATCTTATGAACGTTATTGGTCTCTTTATGTGCAGAAAAACGAAGAGTGATAATAACAGAAGAGACTTGGAATCAAGTAGCCCAATGGGCTAATGGGACATGTAAACATCAGTGTCTATGACTCTGAAACCAGAAGAACTAAATGGTGCCCGGCTACCACTACCAACTGCCCTGAAAGGGATCACATTGCAGGATCCCGGAGAGAGTAAGAGAAAATGTGGAAAAAAACTCAAAGTTATGTAAAAAATAAAAATTTAAAAAATCAGGTTTACTAGTCAGAAAGAGACCAGAGAAACCTGAGACTATGACCCTTGACCACTCTTCAGGTCTAGGAAGGAACTCACAGATGTGGCCCAATTTTCAGCCAAGCAATAGATAGGTTTATAGCTGGGGAAACAAGAATACTAGTAAGGTATGATCACCATTCAAAGTAAAAAGGGCAATGTATGTCTAAGGACAAAGTAGAGGAGGGATAGAAAGGTGGGTGGAATGCAAATAGGAACCACAGGAAGGAAGCAGGATAACTGGTTTTGCATGGAGGGGATTGTAATCCGTGATATGAAACAAAGTGTACGATTTGTTGAATGTAAAGCTCATGATCTTGTCTGTAAACCTTCACTCAATTCACAATAAAAAGTTAAGAAAAAAATGTAAGAGGTCTTGCATTACTTCATAAGTGGTCTTTTGCCAAGTTCTTCATGTTGAGTAGCAGCACTGAAGGAAGGTTATAGAGGCGCTAAAGGAACTCTGGTAGCATAATGGTTATGAATTGGGCTGTGAGCCTCAAGGTCAGCAGTTCGAAACTACCAGCTGTTCTGTGGGAGAAAGACGAGGCTTTCTGCTCCCATAAAGATTTACAGCCTCGGAAACCCTGTACAGGGTCGCTATGAGTCGGAACCTACTCCACGGCACATAACCACATGGGCTAATGGCTCTTCACCATTACCTGAGTTGTAAAGTGTGGGGAAAAAGTTTTGGAGCTCCTGAAGCTATCTCTACTCTCAGCCTTCTCAGAATCTTTAAAATATTGTCCTTGATATGGTCAATACATTATCCAGTGTTTTTTTCAAATCCCTTTATCTTTTCCAGGAATTTTTACCTTAGATGTCTCTACAGAGTTAACTTATTTATGAAGACACTCTTACTTTGATCTGATCAGTCTCTTGGAACAGAGCTGGGGGAGTGGCTGGTTCTGACTGCCCTCCAGGAGATTGGAGAATTGTGGTTTTCTTCTGGAGGAGCTCTACTTCCTGTTGATGCTTCAGAAACAAGTTGGTGACTTCCAGCTTTAGATCCTGGTTTTGGACTGGGGAAAAACATAATCCAGAGTTTAATCAAGTCTGAATTAAATTTCCCCACTAACAATTAATTCACTTGATAAATGTGTCCTAAGAAAAGAAATTTTTTGTTTCCATAAAGTAGTTTTACCTTATTAGCCCAGTAAAATAAGCAAAAAGCAGCTTCAGTACTGTAGAGTGGAAGGGAGAACAACAACAAAGACACTTGTCTAACTGGGATAGTCCAAATCTTTGGAGAGCATTGCCCATCCCAGCAGTTCCCCAACACTGTCCCCATTCCATTCTGATTTCTAGGCTGTAGGTTCTCTGTGATACCCTTCTCCATACTCATTCTGACCTAGAGAGAAGCTGGACATTCCACTGATATGCACGTGTGTTTCTGGGAAAGGGAAATCTATTTTTAGTATGTTGGAATGTATTCCAGAGGAAGTTAGATTTGATTACCACTAAAATACTCCTAGTATGGTACTGTAGGTTAAGCACTGGACTAGAAACCACAAGATTATGGGTTCAAATCCACTAGCTGCTCCTTGAAACCCCTGTACAGGGCCACTCTAAGTTGGAATTGACTCTACAACACTTAACGACAACAAGGTCTTTACAAAAACTTCACTTGACTTCATATATACCACAGAATCCTTAGTACACAGTCTTAAACTTTATCCAGTTATGGTACCTGCCTCTATTTTTTATGGATGGCATATTCCGTTTCCTTAACTTTCTAACGAATGCGATGCAATATAATTTTTTAAAAGCTTTTATTGTGAGGTTTACATGGGAGAACATCAGCTTTACACTTACCCTATCATATTTCGTTTCATTGCAATCATTACAATCCCCTCCGTGCATCAACAAATAACCAAAGGGTACACCACAGAGGCCCACCCCCAGCCGCCAGCACACAGCCCTTCTCCCTCTCTGAGTTTAGTGTCCCTAGCTGCTCCATCTGTCCATGTATTCATCGTCTTTTTCTCCATCCTTGGCGACACTGCTTCTCTGGGTAGGGTGCTGCTCTCCATTCTTCTCACTTGATGGTCCCAGGGACCTCCGCTCCTGGGCTGCAAAATCAATCACTCTCCTCCTTTTGTCAAAAACTATCTACTGCTATATTTCTTACCCTCACAGTCAGTCCTGATGGCAATTATTCACTTTTGTGCCGGAAGAGTCTTATCCTCATTTCCTTTCATCAGCCCTGTCTCAACAGATCGGAAATCATTCAGTGGTGTTTCCAT